ATGTATTTGGAAATACAAATACTGGGATACATTAAAAAAGTAGCCAAAATACTGATAGTAAAATACATCTGTAAAAATGTATCGCGATACGTATCGAAAATACATTTTAAATAGAGGCAAAAAGTATTTGGAAATACAAATACAGGAATACATTTTAGGGAGGGCTAAAATACAAATACAGAAATACTGATACTGCAATACATTTTTCACATTTGTTAGAGACGCCAACTGAGATGAAGCTTAAAGTTTGAAGTGGATGTTTTTTTATCCCAAAACTACTTTTCTGTAGGCTTGGCACTTTGCCTTGAAGGTAGTGGTTTCGGACGACGAGGAGCCTTCAATGGACTCAATAAAACGTTCCAATCAAGGACTGACCGCGGTCCCTTCCCTGATATCCTGTCTGTCTGACGAGGGATGCGAAAAGACTTCGACCTCTAAATAAATTCTATGTCACTCTAAATCCTATCAAATCGTCACCATGCCCCTGTCCAATAAGGACGTCCCTGCCAACATTGATCACATGACGTCACGGTGGAATGAACTGGTATTCTTTATCTGTAGGTGTGGCCTTGAACATTAAACTTTACCACGCTGCTCTATGAAAGTGCATTAGGTACTTTCGCTGTAGGTTACCTCGTTGAAGATCGTGCAGGCAGTGTCATTTGGAATTTTCGAGAATAGTGGTCCACCTTAAACATCCTGGAACACGTGTCTCACCTTCTGATACGGTTGAAAAAAAGATACTATGGCATCCCTGTTGTGAAGGTCCTTCCTGCAGACCCTCCGCCACCGACATATGCATTGCAGTCATCAAGTTTCGCCTAGCATCACCCAAACAGAGACCTCGTGGAGTGCGACCTGATATTGCCGGCACAGGTGCGAGCTCTCCGAGAAACAGCGCGCTCGAGACGAGTCGCAGGTGTACGAAGTCTGGGTCGGCACAGCAAGGCCAGGTCTGGCCTCCTTCCTGGGTTTCGGATCCCCAGAGCAGCGGGTCACGTTCATGTCGGCTGATGACGTACTCTTGAGCCGTGCAGTATTACTGGCGCAGCCGCATTCGAATATGTGTTGAATTTCACTGCGTGAGTCATCCCACTATGTCAAGTCAACCACCGTCAGGCTCGTGCTGCATCAGTGGTGTACACCCGCCGGCAATATGAAGGTGAACACCTTACCTAGCTTCTTGCCTGTTTTGCGGCTCCCTAAAGCTATATTAACTCTCAACGTCTCAAATGGTACGTGGTTTGGGGTCTAAAGTTTGCGTTCTTGCCCTCTTCTCGAACAAAGCTTGTTCTAAAACTTGCAGGAGCGTCAAGAACAAGAAGAGGGCTGTTCACCTTCAAATCGCTCACGGGTGTACTGTGTACGCTAAGGCAAGAGATACATTTATAAGCGGACATTGGATGACAGCAAGCAATGACTCAAGAAATCCATAGCTAAGGACCTCCGGCGGAAGATGCTCTAGCTCCACTCTTGGCACGCCACCCGGTTCAAGTCCCCGACTACGCAACACTTCTCAGAATTGAGAAGAGGACGCATAGAAAAATAGTTTGGAGAATCGGAAGGAACCTTGGTCAGCATAGAGACAATGCCCATGCATCTCCTTAACCCTGGTGCCCTGAGAAGTAAAAACAAAGAAAAAAATATGCGTTCGGACTTGTTTTTTTTTTTTTTTCGGTGGGGGGGGGGGGGGGGGAGGGGGGTATTTCTCAAGAAATGTAACGAAATACATTTCATCCTGATTGTATCGCGATACAAAGAAACATTCCAAATTGTATTTCGATACAGGAATACAGATACTGCTGAAAAAAATGTATCGCGATACAGAAATACAGATACGAAATGTATTTCTGAAATACTATTGCGATACATTTGTATCGCGATACTGCCCAACCCTGATATATATATACACAGAGAGAGAGAGATTTATCCAGTATGTCTGGCGGTTGATTTTTCATTCATCAGAATGAAAAAGCGACGTAAATAGCACAAGCGATAGGGAAGATAAAGGTAGAAATTCATCTTCAATAAAACAATATCAAAATGTTGGGTAGAAGGTCACGTATCTGCTCCACATTTCGCATATATTAAACGTGCAGATTTTATTTATTTTGACTCACGAAGCATCAGGTAGGCGGGAAAGTGAGCCACCTATCCCACTTTTGGCACGCCACCAAGAATATTATCCTCGGAGTTCAGCATTCCTAACATTGAAAACTTTTGGCCGAATTGCGTCGCGATCCGAAAGAGCAGGAATACGGAAGAGGCGTGAAGTGTTTCAAACTCTAAATTAATCTAATTTTTGAAGTGTGCTGGATGATGGTGTGCCGTGGGTTAACACGTAAGCAGAATAAATTTTATTTTTGCGACACCGGCATAGTTTAATGTTCCGGTTTCTTAGCATGCCTGATGTGGAGGATTTGTTTTTAGGCCTCCCACTTGTGATGATCAGCTAGTCGTTCCTTCTGCAATCATTTTTACACTTCACTCATTTCTGGTTTTGGTTAATGCCTCCTTTTCGTTGCCAGCCAGTGCTAGATTTAGGTGGCGATAGGCAGTATTGCTTAGTCCACACTTGGTATAACACATCAGCAATTTGTAACGCGGAGCAGTTTTATGAAGGCCCTTCGGTTGGGGCCATTGATGTTAGGCTTGTCGGTTTCCATTGTGGCTTGCACATGAGACGCCCACACTTCACTGTAAGCAAATCCTTTTCTGTCAGTCTCCAAATGATGCCACAATGAAGTGAACCAGAAGATTGCTGCCCGCGGAACCTTGGGCTTTAGTTTCTTGACTTCGGACACACTGTTGTAACAGATCTTGGAAGTCTAAGTGCAGGAGGTTCTACTTACAAGCTGATCAGCCCGAGTCTAAATGTTTCTTCAAACCCAAATTTTTCAACTCATATGTGACCATCTAAATTTGCACACTGAAGACAAAAAAAAAAAATTCTGCACAGTAATTATCTTAAAAAAAATAAAGAAAAATCTGTCACGCAAGTTTTGGGTTAGTGACAAAAATGATCGGATTGTGCAGAAATCTCTGGTGAAGGAGTATAACCTCGTGCATTAATTGCCACAAACTACCAAAACTAGCTTGCCCAATCGTCAGCACTCCGGATTAATGAATATCTCCAGATTCTAAATAATATTTCCCGTCTTGGCTCAATCGCTCAACGGAAGCGTTTTGGTTTTGCCCAGCGTTTATTCTCAAACCAAGGAAACACTCCCAGTACGTTGCGTTGTATTTTGTGCCTTTGAAAGTAGGTTTCAGACATGCCTCCTGCGTCGACGCCTATTTCTTGTAGCATTTTTGAATAATATAGCTCGTTGCACTTAAGTGCAAGAAAACCCATAGCTGCAAGGATAAGTATGCTGCAGGCATGAACGTTGATTGGACCGCACGAGTGCTTGTGCTCGACAGAGAGACTGTCAGACCACAGCTCGATCTTGCAGCTTCTGCTATGCTCGAACTTAAAGTGAAACGCACTATAGCTATAACAATGTCTGAGAACAAAGTTTTCTTTTGCAATGGAAAATAGAACAAACCTTTATTAAGATATCGCCCTTTCTTATTACACCAACTATTGTAAGGGCTACAAGGGGGAATTCTATAGCACCTCATCTGGCGTCTTTCGGAGGTTCAAACTGTTGCCGGGCTTGAACTTCCGATTGCGCGGCCCGACCACATGACAGGGCAGGGTGTATTAAATTTTCAGTTAACAATACTGTCAGCCCACAAGGGCTAATAAAGGGTGTAAATCAAAACGTAAAAAAGCATAATTTTTAACAAAAACAATATACAACATAATGCACTACGCCAAGAAAAAAAAAAATGACGCAAACGAACGGAGAACTAGACACGACGCGACCTAACTTTCAACGGAATGGTTTATTTGGATGAAATACTTGTAAAAATATAAAAAAAACCGGCACACTTGGTAGAACACAAAGCTATGGTCTAAACCGCCCCTTGAATATCAGCGTCATTGGTTCTTCAAATATCGTAGAATACTTTATCGGACAAAGGTTCGCGTACACAAGAGTTGACGTGGTGGGACTTAATCAAGAAGGCTTCGTGAATTTCTCAACGGCCGTTTTTGTTTTGTAATGCCCATGATTCAGGTCTCACCAAAGATGCGGCTGCACTTCTCAGAGTTTGGTCCCCATTCGCAACGGTCACAGTGGACCGATAGGTGGCCAGACAGGGACTGCGTGATTGCCAATGCATGCTCTCTATCCCTAACTTTGATATACAAACTAAACAGTCGCGCAATAACAAACGCGAAAATAATGTCATGAATTATGAAATCATAAATCAAGCAAAAAAAAAAATAAAGTAAATTCGATTTTATAGACAAAAACAACAAAAAAAAAAGTCACTGCCCAATCGCGATATCTAGTGGCCACCAAACAATATTTTCGAGGCATTTGAAAAATACGCTGAACTATGTGCTGCCAAGTCGAAGGAGTATATGACAGTAAAATGTCTCGTGTGAGGAAGAATACGTCTGGAAATTCTTTCGCGGCGGACGTCGGAAGACGAGCGCCGCAAGCCTTGGCCGTACTTACTAGGAAACGTATTTTTATTTGTTTTAGATTTGACGGCTTAGTACCAAAACACGTCAAGTAATGACTTGTCATATAGACATTTTAGATCTTACATAAATTATAAAAGGTGAATATGGTGGACCTTGTTATTTGACATAGTTGGCTGCTTACCCTGTGAATGGAAAAAAAGGTATGTGATTACGAAGAGAAAAATTTAAGTAACAACAATGCATGCACTATAACGAACTCTTAATGTTCGTAATAGTGAATTGTAGGAAGTGGAATACACTTCTTAGATAATAAATCGGGGACATAACGCTGAAATACTTTCTTACGCATAGGGAAAACGCAAAAATGTTCTGTAGTATTCAGTTTTCCGGACTGCACGGGTAAACTTTGTAATGTTCTGCAATTGAGCTCCTGATTAACTGGTTTAAATGCGTTATGCAGTGAACGAGTTAATAGGCGGCTGGGCACCGCGCAAGAGCCATTCCTGGAGTGGACAACTCAACTACTCCGGCTCATTGTTTGAGCACAATGTTCGACACGATTCGTAAGTACTCATTTTTACATTTTTCCGAATGAGATTGCTAAACCACAGGCGACAGGCATTTTATTGAGTTAGCGAAATTGTAGCAGTTAGCGTTTAGGACTCGCAAAAACGTCCGGACGGAACAAGATCCTGCTACGCGAGTGTATAAATTGTCAGCAACGGTACGAATGAAGTATTTTTGCTAGTAGTTTGTATTCTCGCACTTATCTAACAATGCTGAACGAAGAGCAGGTCTCACTATTGTTTCCAAGACATTGACAATTTACCCAGCATGTTGGCTCGCTCAATATTGTGCAAGTTGTAGGTGATTCGCAAAAGTTGGAAAGACTAGGTCCTCGCTAACATCAAGTCTTTTGCACATTTGAACTTTTGGTTTCTAGAAGCAAACCGCCTGCTACATTACCGTTAGTGGAAATTCAAGCGTTTACGGTCCAGCATAGGACGAAGTGATTTCAAAGTTTTGCAACGCACAAGCCTAATTTAACCTCATTGTTTCCTACTTTAATTTTCACTCAAATTCGCTTTGCGGACACTTTGCGGACGCTTTGATGGTGCAGTTGGCGGCGATATGAGCGATATGAGCTGGCTTTGCCCAGTAGTAGTCGAAAGGGGCATGCTTCGGCAAGGTAAGCTACGAAACTGACTGGAACGCTGTGACAATAGGGAATTGGACAGTCCATTACAACCCTTTTTTTTTAGTCGCTGGAAGTGTCCTGTGCGTGCCTTTTGTGCCACCCCAGGCTGAACGCAGGTGATCCGGCCGATTTTGCCACACCCTGTAACTCTATGCGCCAAATTCAAACACACACGCACAAAAAAAAAGAAAAAAAAAGAGAAAAACTCGTATTGTGAATGAACTGTCTGTTTCAGAGCAAGAGTGGGCACCCCCCGCGTGAAGCTCCACTTCGCCGAGAAACACGTACCCAATCGCAAGCGGGTCCCCGTTCAGATCGTCGTCACCCCGGCCTCTTCTCCGAAGCATTCCAGGAACCTTGAACGCTCCTGGGTCAGCAGGGAGGCACCGACATCTTCAGACTTCAGCCATTACGCCAACGTGGCGTTGCAACCTACCGAAGCCCACACTTTACCATCGGATCAGTAACGATGATGGAATATAGGAAGGCCAAAGCACTCCCTTTGGGAGGTTGTACACTCACTTAGCAAAATGTTTACAGACTTTGCAGCTACCGGCCTCGGCATAACAGGTCGGAAAGTTCCTACTTAATCACAACAGCGTTCCATTCAGCATTTAAGTAATTAAAAAAAAAGTTTGAACATTACTAAATTTTTTGTTGTTGTCATCCTTAGGATTGTTTAAATCTGGCTTGTTAAGCTCAATTTTGGGGTTGAACCAGTTTATTATATAAATAACGATTACTAAAGTGTTTCGTTTTGTTATTTGAACGGAAAAAAACATTTACGTAACGTTGATCGTTTGTTAATAAAGAAAATAACTGGAAGCAGCCTTCTACGACTTATGCATATAATATTTTAATTATTAGTAAAACATGTGTTTACAAATAGCTGCTTAGACATTGAAGGATGACATGGAACGCGGTAGTTTATTTTTGAGAGACAATAGATTGCAGATTCTGTGTATGGTCGATTAAAGAATAAGGGCTGCCAATATGTAGGGACAGTCTGACCGGAAGATTGTTAGATTCTTGAAGCCTACGCTGTGGGGGTTTCAGTACGACACAAAAAAACGCAAACCTGCCATGGAACCTTCAGGAGGACGTCCTTCAAAGCGCGGAGTGTCCGAGGTATCTTATGGAAGATGCAGGGTATCACTATGAATAGTGCAGTAATGAACCCCCCCCCCCCCCCCCCCCCACCCCCACCGGTGAAACATAGGCTCCAAGTGTGCAAAAAAAAATGATGCATTTGAAGGAATTATGGCTTTCAAATGCTTTGTTTGATGCCTTGTGTGATAAACGTGACTTTGCAGTTCTTAATCTCGTGTTTAAGAGTCACACACAAGATAGACGTGGTTGGTTGGCGAGCGCTGAACAGTCGTTCGCCAAGAGTTCGCTTGCATCTAAAGGCAACTCAAGTTAGGGTCAAGATGAGACTTTGTGGGTTTATACGGTCATTTTGTTTTCATTTCCGCTCGCACCGATATAAATATCGTTATGGTGGGAACTTGACGCTCCGGGCAGATGTCAGATCTAGGTGCGGGCGATTACTGCGCGGCCTCAAAACTCTTCGTCTTCCAGATTTTTTTGGTTCACGGACAGACGGCGTAGGAGACCCGATGCGGAATGATTTACTATCAGCCGGATGGAACATCAAAAGCTTCAATTGCGTAGTATAGCTGAAAATGTCCGACAACGTTTTGTAAACTTGTGATTGCAAAAAAAAAAAAAAAGAAAATCTGAACAGTTTGTCGAGCCGGAACCAGGCAGCTCGCTTCGTCCAAAATTGTTGAGAAGTTTTTGTATGAAAAATTGCTAGTTCTTCTGTAAGAATATTTTTACCGGCTGACACTGGGATTAGCCAGGAACGCCATGAATTACGCGGAAGTTTCACTTGCTGGGAGAGCAAGATTGGAGTGAATGGTGGCAATTACGTAGACCCACAACCCCATCCCGTCGCGACTGGCTAAGAAAAGGTGGGTACCAGCAGCCCATCGGAATAGCGACGGTACTGTACTCTCTAAACAAAAAAAAAAAAGCTTTGAATATTTTTTTTTATTTAGGACATTAGATGCGTCGTAATGCACTCACCGCAAATTAGTTGACAACTGACGTTAGGTGCGAAGGCAGCTGCCGAAATGTACCAGGGGGCAAGATGGTTGTAAAACGCAAAAGTAGAAAATTGTTTCAACCGAAAAATTGTCGGTGTTTTTTTAATTACAGTAAGAAGTTTCCTTAACATTTCTTTTTAAAAAGCATTATCAGAAGGCTAGGATACTTTTACTATGTTGTATGGATCCGAAGAAAATGGGCGTGGGGGGTTGAATATCCAAAATGGAGTTACGAGTTAGAGCAAATGGTATCGGAATAATCTGAGAGTCATAGTAAAAACAATCTGTTAAGTGGGTGTGATGCAAACTATTGAAACAATTTCATAAGTAATACTAGTTTTTAAGAGTGGACCATTTTTGTCTCTTTGGCTCGTTGGACTTGCCTGGGTGCTGCTTATTTAATTAAAAGCCAACGGGATGAATTTTAGAAAGAGTAATCTACCACTACCTCTATAAGATCAAACTTGGAGGTTTTCGTGAAAAACCAACGGAGGGCACTTGGCAGGCCCAGCGAAGGACTGGGGATTAGTTTCTAATATCTCGATTTTTCCGTACGCAACCTAACTCTCGGTTTCATGGCGCCGCTTCCGCAATAATACACCGTCAAATTGCGGGAACTTTGGCCGAGATTTCAACCACCAATCTGTAGGCCAGAACATTGCATCAGCCTCTAAGGCGACTATCCAATTAGCTCAATGAAATATTTTTCTAGCTCTTGACAGAGAAGTCAAGTTGATGGAATATGAATAGTCTTTGGAAAAACTCGGTAAGGTAATCACGATAAACTATCTCCGAAGCTCAGACAACTCGAATCTGCAGCGCGTTGAAAAGATTATTTGTAAATTTAAAACAAAAGTTCATAATTCTCTGTAATGTCGAATTAGAGCGCAGCTCTTGAGGAGGAGGGGAAGGTACGGAGGAGGAGGCGTACCCTCGTTGTGACTTTCACGAGTGACCGTGAAGGTCATACGGTTTCAAGCATTCCTCGACATCGCCGGTACGACGGATACCACAAAAAGGAGGCTTTTTATTTCATGATTGGTGTCCGACAGATTCAAGCAGCTGCAACCTCTGGTTCAACCAGAACATGCCAGTGAAGTTTTTTTTAAACTTTACAGGTGACATTTTGTAGCGATTTCGACCTGGTAGGATGTCGTCGCCTCTACAGAAAAAACACTTCTCTCCGCTCTTTGTGCGATGCCAGAGAAGTCGGGTTTTCCCGTCGGCCGACGGAAAAACCGGCATCCCACCAGTAACGACGCGACGCAAAGTCTTCAGTGTCGTCTGCTTCAAACACTCGTTTTCAAACATTACCCGTACTATGCGAAATACAACTTTGGCAGTATCCAGTTGCTACATACAATGTTGGATGGTTTTAGAAACTTCCACCGCGCTTACCTACTTGCTTCACGGATCACCGGTCACTAGTGGCGATCGTTAGTGGCATCCACGATGCCAACGGCGGCTATGAGAATTAATCACGTCGCACTTCCGTCACTCAGGTACGTGACGGCACCATTCGACCCGCATTGGGCGACCGCGTTAGAGTTATCGCTTTCGTTTCTTCGCAGATTGTGGGCGAGAGACGACTTCGACTTTATTTTTGTTTAGTTAGTAAAAACATTGGCCACTTATTCTTCGCCGGAGTGCTTCAAGGAGTTTCAAGGAGCAAAGTTGTTTTCAACGCGCCAGGGTGAACGGGAGAATGAAAACGAATTAGTAGTGCCGGCACGATCTGTCAATCGAAACTGCGAGTATGAGAACGACGCCGATGCTTGCACATGCTCGCTGCTAACAGCTATTTGTATTGGATTTCAAGGTCAACGCTTGAAAGCACGTCTTGTTCAAGACCAGATTGGTTGCTTTCAGACTGTTGGAAAGCTTGCTCTTAGAGGAATAAAAGTCTAGTTTCGTAAATTTAGAAGTGCCGATGAAGCATCTCATGCAGGCAGCCACATGAGAAATTCGTAGAGGTCTGCTAGAAAATATCTCGGTTACGGGAACACCAATCATGCCGAAGGAAAGTGCCGTTTTATGTTCGAGGACAGCAAAACTTGTGCAACAACATGACACACTGTTATGATGTGCCCTTTCTGACACAACTCAGCTATGTCCCCTCTTATTCGAGACCAGTCTGCCATGTTCCGATGAACAATGAAAGGAACAGTACTGGAGATCACAAAAGTCCTGCCCACTATAAATCGGCTTGGCAGTTTTTTGGAATGCCAGATAAAAGGCAAACGACTGGAACACAAAAAAAAAAGAACTGATTCGCAAGTAACTTTACTTGACATTCACACATAAAACCGCTGCGGAAACTATGGCTGGAAGCAACTTAATACTAACTGCACTGTCAGCAACGAGCCCATTAAGGTGCAACCCCACCGTTCATGACGTTTTGGTGCTTTTTTGGCGGCTTATAACTTTCTTTCTATGCAGCTAACAATTATAAAGTTAATGTCAAATTAAAGAGCTGTTTCTGGACAATGCTTTAATGTCTCGATATTACGATTATTTCTAGTTGTTAGTTATTAATCTTTTATTAGGCCACAGTCCCTAATATTGAAAAATGTATATCTCGAGTTTTAACGTCCTATCGTACACGATATTTTACGTGAGCGTTCGGTTGGATGTAATAAATTAAAAAAAAGCAAATAATTAACTGTACAGATAATGTATATTTTGAAATAAAAAAGAAACTTTAAGATGGTGTTGTTTCATGGCGCTAGAAAAACGGAATCACGTCAAATAATTAAAATAACGAGACATTAAATTGTGAAGTATCCTTCAATATCACATTTTTCAGAACTTCCATATTGGTATATTACACTTTAATAATGTAATAAGACCTAAAACGTTTCCCATTCAGTTACGGCAAACTGTAGTTTCTTAATATAAAGCACAGATGGCGACACGTGCTCAAGAACAGCTCGATGTGCATTTTCCGTCTTGTGCCGCTTGGAACACCACGTGAAAGACAGAAAAAGCGCCAGATGTCAGGGTGTCAGATGCCTGGACGCCCGCAATGAGCGAGCCAGGGATGTCAGAACAACACACGCGAGGCTGGGGGTGCACCACAGCTACTTTGGCGCGCGTTCTACTGTGCATCGGTACGCATGCCCGACGCGATTCAAAGGAAATGGGCGCCTTAAAATGCATTCCGTCATTTCAGATTCTGCCACGTGTGCGAAAACATCTTAATGTTTTTATCACTTGCAAAAATCATTTTCGCAATCAAACCATGCTTCTCGGAATTGTTTGGTTATAGTTTGTTTCATAAACCATTTCGGTGGCTTTTAAGTGACAATTAGTATCACTAAATAAGCTACGCTTCAGAGTAACGACACTTGGCCATA